AATCTAAACATACTAATCTTTTGCCCCTGTATATCTATCCCTACAGTTGTACTGTATTTATACATAGCTAATTGTTCTAAATGTCTCACACCTATCCGCGCCCCTCTTTTTAGGTGATTATGATGATAATAGAAGGAAATGTCTCCAATACAGGCAAGCAGTAGCTCCATATTATAAAAATATTCGGGAACAAGAAACAAATAGTATTTAATTTTTACAAAATTCAAATATGGCTACATTTATCGATTTAAGTCTTCCTATTTAGTAACCAGGCAGTTGCTGGTGCAACTGAATTTTTAAAATTACAAACAAAGGGTGCTGTTCGTAATACAAATCCTGTCTCAGTAAAGTTTTACCGAATGGAAATTTTGAAGGGTTTATTTAGGCTAAGCTTACTTGATACAAACGCGGTTTAAAATGTAATCAAACGAAGTATATCGATCTTAACAGTCAATTAAATTCATGTTAAAAAAGTTTCAGCGGTCGTTTCATTTTTAGCACACCAGGAAAAATAAACATCAATTAACGGAAGATCAATACGGTTCCGTTATTATCACAGTAAATTAAAATGAACCGAAAATATTCATCAGCGGAATTATAAACGTCCGAAAAATAAAAGCGTATGGCGAAGTTTTTAACTTGAATATTATGAATAAATATTAGTTTGAAAAAGTCACTGGCCTCTACTTTCGCTACCTATCCATTTCATTATGCGATGATAAATAAGGACACGTCTAATTAACTTGCCTCATAATTTTCATAAGTTGTTTCAAGAGGTTATTTATATTTGAAAAGATTTATGATGTGCATACACGAGCGGAATTTTTGGAACATCTGATACGATCAATCAGATTCCGTGATTCGCAAAGGGCATGGTTCATCGGAATAAGTCTTTTAGTGTGCTCACTAATGAAAAAATGAGAAATCTGCCGAAATTGGTCTGTTTGCAGAACGAATCTATCAATAAGTGGTATAGAAATCCGTCGCTTTTTGAAGGATGGCCCTCGATTGTTAGATCCCTTTTAAGAATTTTTAGAGTGTAACTTACGAGTGTTATTACCGAGTTGTTCAACAAATTAGGAAGTCCGCCAGTGGTTCGTAAACAGTGGACCAAGTCCGTTGGATCAACTACATCAGGCCCGAAAACACGTCAGGTCCGTCTAGTCTACCTCTACACACGATCGGATTTTTCAATTATATAGTATTACTTCATATTTCGTTTTAAAAATAATTATGGTTAACTTTTCTTTTTTAAATTATTACTGTACGTATTTCGCCTATTTGAGACGCCTTCAAGAGTACAATAGTTTCTAAAACAATTCCTTAAGTTTATGGCATTTAAAGAGCTATTTCTATGAGTAGAGGATTACGAGTGAATATAAAACATCAAGGGCTAACAGTGGACTTATTTCGTAGTTCAAGTTCGTTGAATTTCAATCATTTTTAGTATTGAATCTGGGGCGGCTGATGTGAACACAGTGAAAAACAAGGGAAGCGAACATTGGTTCAAGAAGTGGAAGTTTTCATCTTGAACAGTAGGTGAAGAAGGTATACCACCCCCACCAGATACTTCATCATTTAAGAATAAACAAAAAGGGTTAACCAGCAGAGCATTAAGAATTCCCTTTAAGAATGCGGTTATTGCGTTGCTATGTTTTAAGCATATTATTCTATGGACCTTCACTGCAAAAAAACAGGCTTTCGAAATGTGGTCAAATCGAAGAATGTAAAGGTATCGTGGATGGACAGAGTGACGAATAAAGCGGTTCTACAACGTAGGAACAAAGAAAGAGAGTTACTCTACACCATAGAATTAAAAAAGCTGAAATACTTTGCCTACGTAATAAGAAATCCTAACTATGAATTGCTTCATATAGTCATACAGGGAAAAATAGAGGAAATGTGTAATCCTCGTCGCTGAAGAACATCTTGGCTCAAGAATCTTCGCCAGTGGCACGAAAGAGAACCACGACACTGTTTAGGTCTGCTGCAGATAAAGTTATGACCATGTTCTGGGAGAAGATGACAATTGAAGAAGAAGAAGAATACCTCTGTAAAGTCTTATTGTAAACTTTTATAACTTTTGTTCTAATTTGTTCAATCTCAAAAATTGTTTCAAACATGCATCAAATGTAACAGTAGAGATAAGATGTGAAAGAAATCAAATCGGCACGGGCTGTAACTAACCTCGAATAAATTGTAAATAAATAAAAAAATACATATACATTTGTTCTAAATTACCAACTACTAGAACAGTTTTACAAAAGTAACGTTTCAAAAAATAAGTCGTAAGTTACATCAAACAGAGTAATTATTTAACCTCGGTTAGTTTTTTGGGTTCCTGTCGATGCCAAAAAATGACGTGAGATCTACAATTAGTGACAAGTCATAAGTTCTTCACTTTTCGCAAGACATGCAGAAGAGATATGATTTTTAATAACTCGTTAGCTGTAGTAAATGTGCCAACCTTTTTATGTAAGCTGCACCGTTTTCTAAAAATTTAAATTAAAATGTGTGCTGTACTGCCGATGATCATATTTGGAGGAGGTGGTAGGGCTTTAAAACAAGAAAATTAAGTAAATGTTTAGTGGCTCGAAAGTTCACCGTTTTTGAGAAAAACGCGTTTGAAAGTACAAGGAAGGATCAGTCCGGCCCTGGTAGCATCATGGAGGCATATACGACATTGCAACGCCGCATTCCATTGGTTGCAGCATCCGTGTAGTATGGGTGTTTCTTTTGTATTTTATGTTCTTAATTCCACGTCTACCACATACTATCATCGATGAACAAAGTAATTATTTAATTAATTCTAATTTTTTATCGATGTAGTTTAGAATTGTTATCGCAATTTCTCTATACGTTGCCAATTCACGCCCAAGGCCGGCTTCGGATTGCAGCATTGTCTGGTTTTCTTACAAATTTATTTGTCCCTTGACCACGCTGCTTTATTCGTCATGCGATTTCCTATTGCATACAGTTAATACCCTCCAAAGTTTGCTACTTATTTTAGAAGCACTGTGTATTTATGGGTTGTCGTTCCCAACTACAATATTACGAATATTGATACAATAATATACATGTGTAGATTGTTGTTAAAAACTCTGTAATACGTAGCAAAATATAATATATGTAATAAACATTACAAAACACCAAATAAAACAAAAAAAACTTGGGTGTTTCATTCCCACCAGCCACTAATGCTGGTGGGCGGGCAGTTCTTCCGGACTACGCCGGAAGGTAGGGCTTTAGCCTCATTTCAAGAATCATGAGAATCGGTAGGTGGTGGTTTGGATGGGAAAGATGAGACGGAAAAAATAAAGTTAGAAGAGAATGAAAAACTATTTGTGGAATATATTACTGATCCAAGGAAACTACAGAAAAACTTGGACCAAGGCAGACGGACCCGGAATCGAACCGGCGTCCTCCCGAATGCTAAACGATGGTCTAAACCTCTAGGCCATGCCGCTCGGTGCGGTGTTAAAACAGTGTTTTTCAACCTGTTTTCCGCAAATCCCTAGGGTTCTACTTAAACGCTTCGGGGCTACAATTCGAAACCTAACATATCATACATTTGATCAGATAAATGCAAACTTATTCTTTATAAAATAAAATCTGGGTGTTCTATTGAACTAAAGGATTCATACAGAAATTATCCCAAAAAAGGATGACAAAGGTTGAAGAACACTGATCGTGAAACAAAAGCGTAATGAGAAATTTTATTCTTATATTTACGAGTTTGGATATCTTAAGCTGCAAACAAATTTCTTATTTTAATAATTAGTTTCTTCATCAAATTTTCAGCTTTGAATTCTTTAAGAATTTCCAAAATGTCATCAAAGTTCAATAACCCATTATAATATCTAATAATAAACACGTGACCATATGTACAAGGGGCGCTATCAAAAACTGCCCAGGGGCACTAAAAAGGCACTGACAGTAAGTATATATATGAAATATGAACATGAATCATTGTAATATATAGTTTTATTGTTATAAAGGTATACCTGACTGAATTAGTTATTATTCTATCCGTCAAACTTCGTGGGAAGTAGAAGATGTCAAGTAAGTTTTGAATAACTAGTGACAAACTCCATGTATAATAACAAATGCCATGTCAACTTGCCAAAATATACCAGCTATTTTACATATAAGCATCTATATAACTTAAACTGTTCTAACAAAATATGTCCAATCAAATCAATTTTTCAATTAACAATAGTATTTATTAGTCATATCCTTCAAGAGTGTATGCCGTTTCCCATTTCAACTACTGTTGGATTTTTGAGAAATTCGTATTCAAAAAAACATAATTCTACACGAGTATAAACTAATTATATTTATATAGTACATTTATATAATTTCTTTATTAAGCGAATAAAAAAATAAACTATTTCAATGTTTATCACTTGGTAATATCGCCTTTTTTGTACTATCTGAAATTTTACGGAAACGTCTTCATCGGAATTTTATATTAAAATGAGATAAACGTCTCAAATAACTTTATCAAAATAAAACGATAGAAATGAATAACAGAAATGAGATAAAATACAAAAAGTGGGTTTTCAAGTAAAGTTAGATTGTAGCCTTCCTAATTTGTCTATTTTGAGAGGAATTAGATTTTATTTTTGTTTATCAGAAATATAAAATATTAATACTTATATATTTTCAGTTTTTCAGTTAATGAAATCAAAATATTCAATAATCAAAACCTGAGAAGTATGTAACGTACGAAGTAATTTTTTCAATTTTATCATCACTACTTTGAAGCAATTAATTCTAACATACAGACATTTTGTTTAAATGAAGAAGAAAAATGAATAGGCCTGTTGCTCCTAAGCTCCTTGCAGGAACCAATTTAAATAAATCGTGAACGGATACTGACTTAAATAACCTTACACAGTTTTGTATAATTAAATATTCTTAAAAACCGTATAGTATAGACTGGGTGTGAAAGTGAAATAGGTAAAGCAGTTAGATAAATAAAAAATAAGAATTCGAACCCTTATTATGTCTGCGATTGCTGGGACTTCCAGGAGCTGATGAGTCGAATCCAGAATCATTGGAAGACGTACTGGCTCCAACTTGTCCTGCTGAATGCTGATTTTCACCCTCGGATCCGTCACTATCATCACTTTCACTTTCAGTGTCACTTGAGTCGTTTTCCGGTTGGGGAGGGGGCGGCGGGAGTGCATTTTTAGGAACTCTAGGTTTTGGAATGTGCCTTTTTCTGATATCTTTAGGAGTAGCGTATATTTCGAGGGTACAGACTTCAAGCTGGTCAGGTTTTTTCCATGGATGCATCCATTTCGATAATCGATTCGATTGTAAAGGAATAAATCGTTCTTCTTCCGGTTCCGGTGTCGGTTCTTTCGGTGGGGGTTCCGGAACTACAAAAACTTCAAGATCTGGGTCTTCAGCGTTAGCTTTATTGACCAGGGAGCGTTTAGATATTAATCTTCTGTTTAACGGAGATTGATTTTCTGAACTTTGTGAGTCCCCTTCTGTGTTTTCATCTTCCGGTTGTGCTTCTTCTGCTCTGGTGTCTTGTGGCGCAGCTTTAAACGGTTCCCGTTTCTGAGCTAGATCTTCAAGAATATACTGCTTTCTATTTTGGTAATAAACACTTTCCCTAGTTCCTAGTTGATCCCAAAAGTTAATTTCGTTTTCATTTTCGTCTTTATTGTTTGCCTGCTTCTTTTGGATAGAACCTTCGGATTTCGATAATCTTATGCTTGCTGGTTTATCTTTCTTTGTTGTTTCGTCGTTAATTACAGTTTCGGCAGCTGATTTTGCTGCCGATTTCTTAACAATTTTCTGTTTCTTCTCGTCTAATTTACTTTGAACGTTCTCTTGGATACCTTCCAACATATTAACCATGTGCGAACTGTGTTGTTTACGTAGTATATTAGACACTACAGGTTCTTTGGCTTTCGGCATCTGGAAGATTCCAGTTTTACTTTCAGTTAATCTACTCTTATTAATATTCTTATCTTTCTTTTCGGCTACTTGTTTAGTATCTTCCGTCGGTGTTTTCGGCACATCATTTGGACTGGTGCTTTTTACGCTTTTTCGTTTATTTTCAATTTCGGACACTGTGAAGTTTATTCTCAATTTTTTTTGATTCGGTTTTCTTGGGAGATGCTTTTGCTCAACTTCTACGTTATTTACGACCATCTTCAGGTTTGGTTTAGTTTCTTCTATATGCGCTGAACCGGTTATTATTGGCTTTAGGTTTATTTTCTTCTCTTCGATTTCAACCAGTGTTATATCCCTTATATCGTCTTGGAAATTTTCGGCGTCAACCAAGGTCGAAACGTCGCTTAGTGTACTGTCCACTGACGAACTGCGTACTACACCACCATTAAGTCTCTTATTAATAATTATTTCGTTGGAATTTTCGTCCACTAATGTTTCGTTGGTTTTCTTTCGTACGATTTTTCGTTTCTTCTTTACCTTGGACGACTTGCTATCCGTTGAAGATTTCTCCTCTGTGAATGATTTGTCTTGTTCCAATGAACTTTTCTCGGATTTACTGTCTGAACTTGATTTATCTGACAATGGTGCGCCTGTTTGTGGTTTTTCTTCTAACGCAGTCAATTGGGTTTGGGCTGTTACTAGTGACTGCGATGCAGATGAATCTGTTGATGAAGGTTCTTCGATTGTTGCTAGTTTTTCTTCAACACTAAGTGTTCGTTCAAAAGACGCTTGTGATGGTACTGCAAATGTGGACGAGTCACTCAAATTTTCTGCGGCCAAGAGTGCGTCTAATGCGGCTAGGTTCTCTTGAGATACTTCGTTGGAATAACGTTTGATCTTCTTCAATGTATCTTCAACTGAAATTTGTCTACTTTGTTTCCTTTTTATTTCAGGCGGTTGTCCAGGATTTAAGTCTTCATCTATTGTATCGGATGAAATGCTTTTGCAAATCTCATTGAATGTTTTTGGAACAAATTCAGACTCTTCACTTGTTTCGGCACTTCTTTCACTATCTTCTTCTTCTTCTTTTTGGGCTTTCGAAGCTGAAGACGATTTACTGTTGTCAGATTCTTTAATGAGATGCTTTTCCAATAGTTTCTCAACTGCACTCTTCTTGGTCCTCTTCTCTTCTGATTTCAACTCGTTCGGCTCGAAATTGTCCCTCCAACTTCTTTCATCCCCTCCACTGTCCTCTTTAACTTTCTCGTCGTCGTGGATGGTGTGTAACCGGACCACTGTCCTATTTCTTTTTATCGGCGTCCTTTTCGCAAAATCCTCTTCTTTCTCGCTAATATTGGAACTTTTTACGGAACTGATGGTCTGGGGAGTCGGTTTCACGTCACTGGTAGCTGCAGTATTAGCAGTAGTAGTAGTAGTAGTAATAGTTGCAGCGGTTCCTGTAGTCGGCTTCGTACGATTGACTCTATCGAACTTCCTGTACTTGTTGACTGACACATCAATGTCAGCAGTATTTATTTGGATGGGCCTTGACATTTTGTATTTCGGTGATGAGTGCAGCACTAGCTTCGGGGAGCTGATTCGACTTAAAGGTCTCGCCATCATTTGCGTTTCGCTGATTGTCGCTAGGTGCGGGCTGAAGCCGCGCAGTCTGGGTAGAGGTTTTGATAACGAAGGCGGACGAAAATTCGAGGCGATCAACGAGGAATGGTTAGCGTACGGCCCTGATAAATAGTTGACCCCCGAATTGTAGGAGGGCTGGACGCCCGGGTAATAACCGAGCGGCATGCTTTAGATTTACTTTAAGCGGAAGCTTCAATTGTTTGTGTCTTTCTGTCTGTCTATTGTGTATAAAAGCAGTGCAAAGCGTAAAGAATAAATCAGTTATCTACTTTTTGAGGCACATTACATAAAGATAATTTAAGTATGTACCACTACCCCTCGCTATTTGTCAAGTTTTTGGCCTGCAAGCCAGTATCCTTGAGGCACTTATTATTCGTTTGACGAAGTATTCACCGTGTAAAAAAATTGGATTTCGTATGTTTCTGTTTATACGGCATATGCACAAATCACGTTACGCGCGTTACTAGTTTGAGACCTGTACGTAAACTGGCAGCTTTAGAAACGATTGTGCCAAACTGTTTTATTTTTAACTGGCATTGCTGACGTTCGAGATTGTGTGATATGCTATTTCTCGGTCTTAACACCTGTAGACTTGCTTGCAGATCTTTTGCAACGTCTGGAGCAATTGTTTTCTGATCCGGTGACGTTTACGTTTTGGCAGAACGTTATTTATTTATTGTTGTTGTTGCGTTGTTATTGTTGTTTATACGGAAGTGCGAAAATACAACAATTAATTTCAACAAGAAGATAAGGCGGCATATTCAAAAGGAAACCTTTTTGTTCTTCCCCAAACTGAATATTAACTCCTTGATAATGGCATGATAGCCGAAACACATGTTATAGTAAAATCTAAAAAAATATTTTATTTTTTTTTTTATTTACTTTAGTATTGAGAAATGTAACACCAAGCGATTAGCTTAATCACAATTTCCACGTCGCCATTTCGATCTCTTTAGATCTCATCAGCACGCCGTAGATACCGACCAACTTTTAATTTGATCTTTGTCACTGAAATGATTTTTTTAAATATATGCGAAAGAAATCACTATTTATTATTATCCCTTGGTATTGTTATAATTCGTTTTTTATAATTAAAATTAAATTTATAACTTTTGGCTATCGTCGACCAAGGTTTGAATCCTCAATGTTTTGTTTTGTTTTATCTTCAGGAATTCGAAGACTTCGAAAGACCACCCTAGGAAAAAGTACTCCTAAGCATATTATCCATGAAGGTCGACGAAACGTTGAGAACAGGAAGCCTTGATCAAAGATGGCCAAAAACAATTACGTTCGGGTAGGTAGGAGAAGTTTCCGATTTCATGTAAAAAATGAACCACATAATTCAAGAAAATACTGAATGATTTGTGAAATTACGATTTTGTTTCAACTAAAAAATCTAAACTTAATAAATAATAATTAAACTGTCCATGTGAGAGGACACTTTATTGAGTTTACGCATTTTTTTTAAATTTGAAATTTTACATGATGGTATTTTTAACGTAATTAATATAAAATTTCAGTTACTACATTGTGAAACTAAAGAAATCCCAAAAAAGTATCATGCCTTTTAACTTTGTTTAAGATAAGGCGACATATTTAAAAGGAAATCTTCTTTTTTCTCAAACTAAATAACATTATTGCCGAAAATATGTTAGAGGAAAATTTAAAATTAATTTTGTTTCTTTTTTATTTATCATAGTATTGAAAAATGTTTCACCAAGCGATTAGCTTAACCACAATTTCCACGTGGCCATTTCGATCTCTGTAGATCTCATCAGCACACTGTAGACAGTGGCCAACTTATAATTGGATCTTTTTTAAAATATATGTGAAAGAAATAATTATTTATCATTATGCTTTGCTGTTGTTATAATACGCGTTTTGTAATTAAAATCTTAATTATAATCTTTGCATGCTCTGTAAAACGACGATAATTTTGGGATTCTAATTTTCTTACTCAGTTGAAATATCCAGTAATATTGCGTAAACGCAATCTGCAACAATTTCCAACATAACTTCACATCTGATAAAAATAGATGCATTTCATCCATTAATTTTATTATTCGTGAATGTGTTAGAAGCACTTATTCCAAATAACAAAATTAGCATAGTCATCTCATTTCGGTATCGAATTCTAGGTCAAAGAACTCATAAGTACTTAGATATATTTAAGATACCCTTTTCAGTCCTATTTTTTTAAATTAATTATCGCGTCTGTCGATTTTTTTTCTGAGAAAAATGGGTAGTTGACGCATTTATTTCGGTCCTTCAAGTAAAACGTTGTCACTTCTTAAATTTGGAGAAGATGTACGACAATTTTACGGAAAAAAAGTGCACAAAGGACGACGAACTCGATACAGGTGCCATATGTCGGAAGAAATGCGAGAAAACTTTAAAGACGCAGACCTATTTACCAAATATACAAATTACACGCCACTTTTGAAAAATACGATACAATTTTTTGGCAGTGACATATGCAAAGGTTTATTCCTTTGCATATTGCAAGTGTGAACAGGTTTTATTAAATACCTTTATATACACATATACAAGATTTAAATAGCCACCGTTATGTACATCGATTTTTTAAGCGCACATAACTAGGTCTTATTATTTGAAAATTCGTTTTCACCGTGTCTTCACACACAAAGAACACATACGCTTCATATGTCTCAATTTTGTCAATAACCCAACAGTTAGAGCGTAGGTCTATCGCATTAGAGTACACAAGTCCGAATCCTGTTGTGATCAAACGTTTTTATTTTTTTCTCGTATAGCATTTTTGATTACTAAGATCAATAACTTTTTCAAAATAAATCTAGATAGATAAGTTTTTATATATTAAGAAGCTTTACATGTCGGATTTAGATAAAAAATGTATTTATTGTCCTAAACATTTGAAGTAAAGCAATTTTCCAAAATCATTAAAAGATAAAATATTTTTAGAATATAAACCAGAGGCAATTACTTGTATATAAAAGTGACCATTAATTGTTAGTCTCTTTTTCTGAATTATGAGAAGAATAAGAAGCACAAGAAAATCAAATGTAGTTCAGTGGGACCTAGTTGGTCTGTATCTGAATATATATGACACTTTCGTTGTTGGTTTCTAAACGCGTTTGTGAGACTTTAGATAACAATCACAAAGTGATTTATTCATAAGCTTTCGCGGACATCGTGGATGTAACTGTTAATTTTTTAGCTTTCTGGCTATCATCGATCATGGCTTTTAATCTTCAATTATTTGTCGATTCACATCGACGTTATCTTCAGGAGTTCGAAAAATTCGAAATTCCACTTTAGGAAAAATAACTTCTGAGCATATTAACCATGAAGGTCGACGAAACGTTGAGAATAGGAAGCCTTGGTTAAGGATCGTCAGAAAGTCAACGAGAATTAACAATTACGTTTGTGTAGTTAGGAGAAATTTTTGATTATTTCATATAAAAAATGAATCACATAATTGAAGGAAATACTGAATGATTTGTGAAATTGTGATTTTGTTGCAACTAAAAAAAACTTAAAGGATAACCATTAATCTGCCCATGTGGGAGGACACCCTGATTGAGTTTACGCATTTTTTTTAAATTTGAAATTTTACATGATGGTATTTTTAACGTAATTAATATAAAATTTCAGTTACTACAAGAAATCCCAAAAAAGGATCATGCCTTTTAACTTTGTTGCATCTATTTCGGAAAACTATTTATGGAAATAGATTTGTTTCAGTCAGTTGGTACACGTGCTAGCATTTCCTATTAGCTGAATTTGATCCTTTGCAAAATGAGTTAGTTGCATTTGGTGTCGTCGGTTTTCATTTATTTCGCCGGTATTTTCGTTGCCAATAAGTTATACTAAATCCACACCAATTAATCACATAAATCGGTACATATCAAGAGACCTTTTCATAAATGCAATTAACTACATAATTTTAACACATTTACGCATTAAATAATCTACTTGTCTAAAACAGACATTCTCTTATAAAACCGAAGTTTAAATATAAATATTAAGACCTCAAGATGAGAAAACAATAAGGTCGTCAGTCTTATGATTGGTTGGACACGCACCTCCACTCTTTCCTATCCTGAGCAAATCTTCGCATTTCCCTAAAACTGAATACCTTACCCACATTCTAAGTTATTTGCGAACAGTAATCTAATCTAGGTCTACGTTTACCTCTCCTAACTCCCGTTTCTGCCTCTAATATATCTCTGGCTAGACCTTCATGCCTGAGAAGGTGTCCTAAACAACCTATCTCGCCTATTTCTTATAGATTTCCATAGAGTCCTCGGTTCTTCTATTATTTCTAATACCTCTACACCTTCAAACTCTTCTAACCTTTTCTTTTCCGCCGGGCTCACCGTCCATGTTTCGCACCCGTACAGCGCCGCTCTCAAATATACACCTTTAACAACCTTTTTCGAATTTCTAAATTAACCGTTCGCGAGCATAGAAGTGACTTCTTTTTATTGAAGGCGACACGACTAAGAGTAATATGGTCAAAAATTAAAAATAGTTAATTTCTTCTATACTGTAAACTGATTATATTTTTATTTAAAAAGAAAATATTGTAGAAGATTTACAGTTGTAACTATATTACAAATGTGATGTTAATTGACTAAGTATTTGTTAACTTCTTTTTAAAAACGAATGGCAAGTAATTTTGCATTTAACATTAGAGTAGGTATGTCTGCAGTCCTAACGCAACCTAGCATAGCCACATCACAAAATGGCAAAAGATTCACATGAGAATCTACGTGCTAACTTGGTGCTCTAACTAAAATTCCTTAATAAAAATGGCTGTGAGTGAAAGCCAAAGTTGTACACCAACACCAAAATTTCTTAGTAAACTGCTAGGTTTTCCTAAGGTAAGTTTCACCTATTGACAACAAGCACAATTAGTTTCGATGTCTTAAAATTATGCTTTCATCCCCCGGGCATCTATAGTTGTCACACCTACAAGTTTCCAGAAGCACTTACAAAGCACTAGACTATAGAATACGTCGGTACTTTTGGATACAAAGTGGTTTACTACTACCGTTTTAACCTACGTTAACCTTTGCTTATGGTCATTACTAATTTTCAAAAGAACGGAAGTTTAATTAAAACACTAAATTAATACCTCGAATTTCTGATTTTGGACTATTAGCTAGATATTTATTCAATATTACACCAGGGGAATATTGTTCAGCTCATAATTATCCAAAAGATAATCTCTGTTCGCCCACAACGTTACTGTTGTCCGTATTTTTATTAACAGGGGCAAGGAAATCTATTTATTTCATTATTTTCTATAATTACTACAAAATATAAATAAGCGAACACACGCTGTATTTAACAAGTTTGTGAAAGGACAACGATAGGTAGGTAGATAGATAAGTAGAGAGAGAACCATCAGTTAACCTAAATTTGTCATCACCTTCTAAAAAAAGATTGTGACAGACACAACAGAAAATGTTTTGCATAATGGTTTGTAGGTGATGCTGTGAATGATACGTGTCTGC